AGACATTAAGGAATATCATTTTGACACCTTTCTATATATTTAGAAGAGTGATAATATTCCGACCAATATTTTTTATTAAGAAAGAAAGAAAAGAAATTGTAGGTCAACTGGGTAAGAGCAAATAACTGACGTTGAAATGAATAAAAAAGTAATTGAACCTTGGTATGGTTTAGCCAAAGAATGTTCCTTCCTATAATAACCACGCCATTCATTAACCGATGTGCCCTCTAGATTCGTCGGTTCTTCGACACCAGTGCTTACTTGCAGAAATAAACAATAAACAAGCAAATAAAATAAATAATACAATAACTGACAAGTAATAGCGATCATTCTCGTTTCTAAAATAATGTCTATTTAACTTATCAATATATTCAACAACAAAAAAAAATTCACGACATATAATGTCGAATAATATAGTTATACAGTGCCTTTAATTGCTAAATTATGAATGTTTAACGTCATGCTACCAATTATATGCTCTTCTTAAAAATGTACACAAAAGTTCGCAAACACTTATTTACACTTAACGTCATACTTTTTTACGTCTTCCTTTGTACGAAAGCTAAAAATAGTGAGAAAAAAAAACAGAGCACCCTATAGTGCACAACCTCCGACAAATAAACAAGCCACAGTGTTCGTTCTATTTGTGAACATTTAGCTTGTGCCACCTAAAACCATAACTGCTTTTGAGAACTAATCATCTGACTTGATGCTTGCACAACAAGAAACAAAACAGATATATTTGATTTTAAAAATTTTGGTTTGGTTTATTGGAGTTTGCACATGTCAATGGTAATTTGTGTTTTGGTCTGAAGATTTAAACGTATGTAATTGAGAATATTCATGCTTATTAACGTATGATAACGTTTGGTTGAATGCAAGATTCGGGGCAGTGTAATTCGAAATGTTGACATAAATACATGCATCTAGCTAGTTAGAATGAAATTGGAATAGTTTTTGTTATTCAAGACTTGCTATTCTTATTTCTTGTTAGTTTTACTAAAGACAAAATAGTTGATTGATTAAAAAATTACTAATAAATTCAATAACTGTTAAGGTAATGAACAATGAACTCATTTTGGCTCGAAATATGCATTTTATGTAATTTAGAATATGGAAAAAAGTACAATGCTGTCATAGCTATATTTCTTGAAATTCAAAACAAAATTGAGAGTTTTTATTTTCAAATCTTATTGTCGTTGTATAAATAAAAGTGGTACAGAATTGTTGAACAATATTTAAAAAAATTGTTTATTTTACTTTTTTTATTAGCATATTATATATTAACAAATTTTAGTGAGTAATGATGAATAAATAAATGAATAAATTTGTTATGAATATTAATGGAAAGAACGATGTGAATGCGATGAAGTTCTTCCAAGCTTAAAAGCACTAGCAAAATATTGAGTAAGAAGGCAGTTAGCGTTGAAAATGGAAATGTATGAAAAGAAGAGAGGAAACGAAAGTGAAAATAAATGATGGAAAATTTTTGCTTTAGTTTTATCTTCGGTTACAAGTAATAGTACAAACATACCAAGTATGCAAACATTTTCTTTTAAGTCTAACGTGCTTACTGATTCCAAATTTTTGAAATAACAAAAAAGTAGTCCTGATGACAGCATAAAACCATCTATGAAATTTAACAGTTCAATCATATAGCAACAAACATTATAACATTAAAATGTTGACTTCTCTTTCTAATTGTTACAAATTTTTTGTTCGTTCAAAAGTATCAGGACCACCATAAACGTTCTTTAACTGGTTTACGGTGGTCACCTGTACCATTTGGCGTCCATTTCACATAGCTGCTATTACGCAACATGACAGCGAGAGGTACACGTGTATGTACACGAGCTGCAGAACGTGAACGTGTTTGTTTAATATCTAAATTCCAATCACTCTGTCGACGTCCACGTATATTTTCACTTTCACATTTCATATTATCATACGGGCTGTGATCCAAATGTGATGCAGAAAGCCATTTCCTCTGATAAAAATGACGCGAAATGACAGGTTGCAGAGGTGCTATGCGATCCAATTCACCTAAATCAATAATTGTAATAATTGCTAAATTTACATTTTTTCGACGTCTGGATAAGTAATCGAAGGGTAATTTTTTGGCGACGTCATATGTATGAAAGTAGTGTGATATTTTTTCATGTGTAAAAACATGAAAAACTATGATAAACGTTATGTAACGTAATGTATCCTCGTTTAAAGTCACTAACCATCCTTCAAAGGTGAGGAGTTCCACGGTGGTCGTGCATCTACGACTGCAATAGAACGCTGATAGAAGTTACCGCTTTCATCACTTATTTTATTCTTCAATTTAACATTCTTTCCATTTGGTATCCACTTATTCCATTTGATTTCTGAGGTAGTATTCACAATTTGCTTTAAGATTATTTGTTTCCATTATACAAGTAAAAACGAAAATAGAATGTGTACCTTGCAATTTTGGTGAAATAATAGCACCATTAGCTGTAGATGTTGCAAGTGACTGATCTTCAATTTTCAATTTTGCACGCAGTGGTACTTTTAACTCTGCGAAAACTGATTGACGTACTCCATAATGGGTATTATCCCGATAATTTTGCAATGTACGTGGTAATCGTTTATGGTCTGCAAACGAATATTATCTCCACTCATTGAGACGAAGTCAAAAATGGAAGTCAAAGTGCAAAAAGATTTGCAATTCAGCTGTTTTCAAAGGTTGTTGTTGCTCAGCTGTTCAAAATGGAGAACGAACTTCATTATTTTCTTAATGCATGCATTTAAAAAATATTAGCTAATATTCATATTAAAAGCAAATTTTTAGCTAAATAAGCAAAAAATTATCATAGTAATGTACAAGTAACATAACCTTTGCTAATACGAGTCGTTGTTGGACAACTAACACTACTAGGTGCTGGTAAATTAACCTCATCTGCACCATTTATAATTTCAGCACTCTTTTCTGATATGCTTGAAAGCTTACGACGTAGCTCATATCGTGGGCCCATACCAGAAGCAGCCAGTAACTGACTAATGGATCCGCCTAAAAATACTTATCACTTTAATTTGTTTATATCTTGTTATATACGTAGAAGTTACTCGTGGACTGTACTACTGGCTTTTATATGTAATTGAATGCAAGCTGAATTTAAACTTCAAATTAATTACCTTTTGTATTAGGTTCATAGCCATCTTGCATTTGCAAATGTTCACATGATGCAGTTAGCTTTTCTTTTTGCTTTTCTGTGAGACGTTTTGTTGGTGGTTTTATTGTGGCTACCTATGATTTACTCTTGAATTTATAGAACAGACTGAAAAAGTGTTTTTATTCACTCTAAATCAGCGGATAAACTTTTTGTATTCACAACCTCTTTCAAAGTTTCTTTCAATTCATCAGCCAAACGTCCGCTGTGTTCTGATTGTGTTTTACGTAATGCATTTGGCCCGGAATAAGCGGTATATACATCTTCTTCACGCTCATTATTACAATTTGTATTTTTTGCAGACATCGGCCTAATCGCTTTGTCATCTAAAATATTTTTCTTCATGTCTCTAGCACTTAAAAAAAAATTAAGTAATGTAATATCTGAAATACTTTTCGGTACGTCAGTGGTTGAAACTGTTGCTGTTAGCTCATTTTCTTTATCCATTACTGAAGGTTGCAAATTGGGAGTGCTAATTATGTCATCAGATGATGCATCACACACTTCAGGCGCTCCTACTTCTGTTACCGTATTTGCATCGGAAATCGCACATTGATCGCTTTGTTGCATTGGTTGCTCTTCAAATGCTATTAAATCTGACTGCTCTAAGGTTTTAGGTACACTTTCAGAATCATCAAGCGATTGTGTCGCTGCAGTCTTCACATTTGAAAGCAACATTGGAACTTTTGCGCTTGTAGTTGTCAGAGTTTTTTTTTCGGTCACAATTTTTTGTTCTACTACTTGTACTTTCACTGGTGTTTCCGTTAAATTTGATGATGTATTTGTTGACGTGAATAAATGAGTAATGCTGCTTGTATCACCAACGACACTTTGCTTTTGTAATACTGTAGCAGTAGTAGTGGTTATTGTTGTCACACTATTACATGTTGTAACTGCTGTGATAACTGAGTTAGACATTTCAGAAGGCAAAAGATCCGTCAAATTGACCGTATTTAATGGGTAAGCAAGTACTGTGGAATCTGGATGAACTTGATTACTGATCTTCCGGCATAAGAATGCATCGATAAGTTGGTCCAACGATGGTGATGATGATGTGATAGCTGAAAATATGCATTATAAGGTTGTTTTTTTTTTCAAATGTGAGACTATGAAAAGTAGTTAAACTTTTAAATTGCATTTCCATCTTTTCATTTAAGAGCCTGACGATCTATGCTAATAAACGGAAGCATTTCTGATATTACTGTAGGTCGGTGTAAATCGTAAGAAATTAAAGATATATTCAATCTTTCTTATAATTTTTTACTTTTGTTCATTTGCATTTAGAATTTATGCTTAAACATATCAAGTTTTGGTGCAGAAAAAGTAAAAGCATTTTGTCAAAATTGTAACTTTTCGTTTTTAAATGTTTTCAATTTCAGCAAAAAAAAAATTGAAAGAAAACAATTCAAAAAATACGTAAATACATCTGATATACTTTACATAAACAATGGTGATTCTAGCAATGTCCATGAAATTGATTCAAGTGATCACAATACAAAGATTATCTGCAGTCATGCAAGATGAATAAAGTAAGAAAGCTAACAACTTGGTCTGGATGATTGTTTCCATGCAGCTTGCTTAAATAATTCCCACATTGTGCGTAGAGTTGATTCTGATGTTGTTTCACTTACATCATGCTGCACTTTTTCAAATGACTGAAAGAAGCAAAAATTTGGGGATTTGTTTGCCTCTTATCTTTTTGCTCTATTACACAAGTAAATGAATAAATATATTACTTATAGTTGTATAAAAACGATTATATATCTTTGCACATGTTATTATATCGCTCGAAATGCATTTTGGTTTACCATTGTTTTTAAATTTGTAGATCCATCAGAATTTTTGCTCTTTCGTCCTTCAGTAATACTTTCTACTTCCTGTGATATCTCAGTACCACTCGTTTGAGTACTTTCCATACTATTTCTACTATTATTTTTTTCATTTAGAAATACTTGATTAAATTGCGCTAAAGTTTGTGATACGTTGCCATTGAGTTTATCTTTCAAAAGTATACGTGAATCTGCGTGATCAAATGGATTTTCAGTTATCGATGATGGTTTTTCAAAATTTCCAGCTGAAAAAAATGAGCAAATAGCATATAAAATTATTGTTCAAAATTTGCTCTAAAAGTCATTAGAAGAACTTATTAGAAAAAAAAATAAATGAATATAAAATTTTTATTTTCATTTTATTTTTTTCTGAATTGAAACTGAGCACTTTTATGAACGAAAACCAATTTAAGTGCATAGTTATTTTGATAAAAAATTATTATATTAGTTGTGTGATAAGAGAACTGACGTTAACAGATCCCATAAAGCATCTGCTTTTAATTTGCTCACTTCTTATGGTTGAATATTTTTAGCTTAATAAACATACAGTCATAAATAAGATTAGTTTTAATTTTACTTGATGTAAATTTTTGCTACTTTACTGCTAATTTTGCTTCAAGTAAAGAAGTATAAAATTTTATGCATGCATTCGACACATTCAGTGCATTGTAAAGTGAAATATTACAGACATAACAAAAAATAATGGCAAAAACAAACGTTTCATTTCCTCAATGGTATCTTCACTTTTGGTTGATTGCTGTTTTAGCTTAACTAGATTAGCATTTATCACAGCTTGATCTTTTTTTTGTCCTGTGTCTAAGGATTTTACTGCTTCTCGTTTCTGAGGAACCTTTTCATTCTTTTTTTTGATTGTTAATTTTGATTCACATTGATCATTGCTATCAACAGAATTAGGTCTGCTATTAATACCAAATGACGATTGTCTTCTTTGTTCATCAGGCATATTACCAGAGCAAATAGATGATGGATTACTTTGCATATGATATGATTCTGCTGCAACTTGAATTGGATTTCCACTTCTGTCAGAACTAGCTTCTGAATTTACTATATTACCCTATAATTATTATCTTTAATTATTGAGCGATTAAAACAAATCCTTCGAAAAATTTTGGATTGATAATAAACAGTAATAGAAATGAATTTAAAAAGAACAATAAAATTGAATTTTGGAGTTTAAAAAAAGATTAAAAAAGATTATGAAGTGGTGAAGAAGAATGTTTATTTATAAAAAAATGCAGAGTTTATTATACCTGTTCATCTACCGAGACTCGCTCCCTTCTTCTTAAGTACCATTTGTACAACCATAAGCTAAGGCAACCAAGCAGTGGTAATATGAGGAAGAGGATGATACCAAGTAGAAGAAACCACCAAAGCAAACAATAACCAAGAAAAATAATACATCTGTAATTATAATTATAATTGATTATTATTATTATTATTATTATACTGTTTGTTCATTATTCATCGTTCTTCACTATTATTATTACTGTTAAATTAAAGAGCAATTAATGAAGCGTTGCTATTACTGTTCAGTATGTGCACTAATTTTTTGACAACGTCGTCCCTCTTTTTTTCCAATATCTTTCGACGTATCATTCCATCCTTCGTGACACCGACACTGGTATCGAGGTCCATCTACAACACAATCTGCGTGTTCCGGATCACAATCGTTTAGAGTTGAAGCTAAGCAAGCTCCAAGTGAAAGCTCTGAAGAAAAAGCGTAAGCAACAGCATCACAACTTTTCAATAATTGTTTTTTCAAGAGTTACTTTTAAGATGAAGAAAGAATTAATTTGAAGTATTAATAATAGATGTAAAACAGAAAGTGTTATCCAGAAACACTTATCTTTAAAATACACTCTTGAAATTCATGAGCTTTTGATTTGAGTACATTCTTATTTCATTATTTGTTAGATATTTCGAAGATTGTTTGCAAAGAGCTAGAGCTAAAGCAACGTGATAATCCCTTGGTTTCAGTTGATATCTTGTCCAAAGAAAAGTTTACCTGTAACATGAAATGGTACATAATGGTCAGCAGCATTTTGCTGAAAAGCATTTTCAAGTTCTTCAACAGAACACTGCAAGCAGTCAAGTTGTACCATTATCGGATTACCATCACGTCGAACGCACATCTGATATGGTAATTTTGCGCGATTCAACTAAAATACTGCACATAAGCTGATTTGGTACTGTAAGTATGTGCGATAGAATATTGCGAGTTCATTTCTAGTTTTGGCTGATTAAAAAAAATTAATTTAAATGCTAACCATCAAAATGGCTAAACGAGAACGTTGTTCGGGATTAGGTACTACACCACCACAAAAATATTCTAAGTCAACACCAAATGTTGATACAGTAACCGCTGAAATGCACTAAAATTCATTTCTCATAAATTAATTTCTGTTTTTTGCAACAGTGCAAAAACTGTTCAATTCATAAATCATGAACTATCATGCACATTTATTCTCACATTAGGGGAATTCATTACTATAAACCATCGATGAGAAACTGAGAAGTTAAATAGATACGTTGACAGGCATTACTGTCACTACTAGGCATTTGGCCTGGTGGACAAGTACACCAAGGATTCGATACCAAACGTTCTGCTTCAGCGTACTCGTATTGCGTGCATGCAAGCTGATCTGGTGACAAAGTTGTGGTGCTCTCATCACGGATGTTATTAATTGTTTGAGCTAAAATTCTGAGCATTCTGACTTCTCATTGAAAAACATATATGATTATTAATTGGTTTTTACTGTATTATCAACTAGGGATTATGTAATCAATTTGTTATACTGCTTACAGCTAATAAATATAAGCATAATACCATTGTGTTCCCACTGAAGTTGTTTTGATTCTGCAAGCTTTTCTGCATTCTGATTTTGCACCATCTTAGTAGAAAGATTGAGTGCATTGTGATCAATGAATTGTCCATTCGATGCCATATTGATATTATTTTGCTCTAAGATTCTGACATGTTCTGTTGATGTATTTAGAAGCGAAGAAAATGTTCCATTATTTTGTTTATTACCACTATGATTTGATTTATTACCACTATCATTACTGTTATTGTTCCAGAATTTGTTTTTACCATCATTATTAATTGCTTCCTTTTCATTTTCTAACGCATTATGAAAATTACCGTGCTGAAGAGCAACAGAACCTTTGTTACTACCATTAAATGCAGTAAAATTATGAAAAGATGTTCGAGGTATGAATGGTAACTTTTCTACAGATGCTAATGACTTGTTCTTGGTTCCGTTCAGTTCAGTACTTAGCCAAGCATAAGAATTTGCTGAATTTGATGGAATAAAATTTGCTTGTTTTTCAGCCGCTTCTTCATTTGAATTATCAGTAAAATTTGGTAGTAAAGATGGTTTTTGTGACATTGCAACAATCTTTTGTTGCGTTTTCATTTCACCAAAATTAAACTGATTGCTATCATTTTCCGTTTTATAGAAGTTTAAGTTAGCAACATTTTCACTATTACTTTCTGCACGCGAATTTAGCAGATTAATATTTAAATAACTTCCATGATTTGATCCAATATTTCGATTCTCGTTTATCGTTTGATGTTTGCTTTGATTTGAGACATTATTGATTTGTAATTCGTTTCGAAAAATATCGCTTTCTGTAGCATCTAAATGCCCAAATGACGTATCTATGTTTTTGTCATTTAAAGCTCTTGTTGGTATTTGGAATGTGAATTGTGTAGGTGTTGTTTCAGCAGTTAAATCATTCAACTCGTTCGTAGTGGAATAAGGCGTCGTGCTGGGTGTTACGTAAGGAACAAAGCCTAGTGTACCACCAATAAATCTAATTCTTTCTGCAGGTGCAGTTGACGTTTGAAAATTTGTGTAGGAAATTGCGCTACGTTTAATACCAAATATCGCAATATAAGCAATATCTAAAAAAATTATTTATATCCATTGTTAACCCAAATTTTGACACTAAAAAAAGAATTTTATTAATTTGTTATAAATTTACTGCAGTACATTCAAGTATTACCGAAATTCTAATTTGACGATATAATTTAATTTCTGTTGTACACAATTTCAGTTTTTTAGTACTAAATTTTTTATGAAATAATAACAATTTGAAAGTAGAACGTACTCAGAGCAAATAAAATCAAACCTTCATCTGATTTGTCGATGCAATTTGTTTGACCTTGTTCGATCCATCTTCTCATTACACATTCACCGTAACCTTTACATGGAAGTGTCTCATCGACTGGACACAATTTTTCTTCTAAACATTTTTTTCCTTGAATATGCATATTTCAATAAATCTTTGCACAATTTACAAACTGTGAAATATATAATTAATTATATTATATTAATTATATTTCATTACAATTCTTTACATAGTGATATATAATTAATTACAATAAATGATTTTGGTCAGATATTCTGTGCTAATTTTCAAAATTTACAATTGATATTAGATCCCTTTTAGAATCTGCTGCAAATATAAGTTTCATTTATATATTACCAAGTTATTGGCCATCCTGATTAGTCTTAATAGCATTAAATTGATACAAATTCACATTTGATATAGAGTTTATGCATGTTTTATTCTAGCAGTAATTAGTATTCAGCTCAATAATTGATAATATTTTGATGAAAATTTCATATAATTTGCAAAAATTGGTGGAAAAAACAATCTAATTCTACTCAACTGAATCAGAAACTTTTCAGATTTTAATTTTCTTTTGTAAATACTCACTATTAACGTTGCAAAATGTTGGTGACGTTAGTGAATCATCACATTCTGAAATGGCATATGAAATTTGAATGATGGACAAGATTTGATAATGCACTAAATTTTTAGTACTTCATAAGACTAGAAATTTGATATGTACACGCTTAACAAAAAAAAAAATTAATAGATGAAGATAAAAAATTCGTGAGATTACTTGGATTAATGAAGCACTGAGTGGTATACTTTGGGGATACACAATATGAGCCACATTTTATGTAACCAGGAAAGCAAACTGCAAAATCAAAGCAAAGCTTATCAAAACCCAAACCTCAAATTAAGGTTGATTCAGTGTTTAGGTATTATTCTGTCAACTTGTTAAATTAAATGCTTATTCCAAGACGGAGAAACTTTGCTCTCTAATTTTCGCGGTTATCACGTCTTTTCATTTTAGAGCTGTTGAAATTATAAGAATATTACGGCCAAAAAATATCTATATAGTCTAAATTTTTTTTCGGTTGAGATATTAATTACTCACCTGATTACTGTAAATTATTATCTCGTATTAGTAACTAAATTTCACATAAACTAAAATAGTTCATTTTTACTCATTGTTTGATCTTTGTGGTCAATACCATAAAGGCATGAAACTGACCATAAAGATCAAAAACTCTTTCAAGAATTCAAATTGTGCTAGAACTTATTTCTTTTCAAAATTATTTACTGAAGAAATTGATAGGTACTGTGTTTCTTCTTGACAAAAATTAATCTTTATAGACAAATTAAGCATTCTATAATAAAAATAAATTAAACGTTGATTATGTTTGTTAATGATATGATATGATTTCATCAATTTTTACATTACTTACATTCATCACTTCCGTCAGGACAGTCCACAATGCCATCGTGGAAGCGTCGTAATGGAATGCATCGACGCTGTGGTGGCCCACCTTTACAGTCAAACTGCCAACTTTTAGAATGATTATAGCCGTCAGAAGTCCAACAATGACCAGGCACACGCATCGAGAATTCTGAAATAATGCATAACTGAGTAAAAATCCATCGTTAACATTTTAATTATTCAAAACATTTTCTATTAAGGATTAAAATAATTAGCATTCTCATTTTTAAATAAATTATGAAAGTTTGGAAAAATTTAAGAAGTTAGAAAATATTATAGTGAGTAAATCATCTAGCACTTCAAATATGATTTAATAATTCGCATTCAATCAATCAATTCATCTTTTCCTGATCATTTATTTTGCTAATTTTTATTTCATTATTTGAATATAATAGAAGAAATTTTGAATAATTTAAACTACGCAATTATCGCAAATTGCTTACCAGCAACAGTTATCCACTGAGCTGAGACGTGAAAGTTATGCAGCAAAAGCAATAATTGCAACAAAATAACTATCAGTAATAAATGTCGTCGTTGTTGCAAGCAGTGCACAAATAAGATCATTAGCCGTTGTCGTCGCCTTGCAACAACACATTGACAAGCATTTAGAAGTGATCTTGCTGAAAGAGATAAGTCATTCTCGAAACTTATCATTTTCTCGTAGGTACATACGTTACATTTGAAAACTGATAGCAATTTTTTTTGCTTCAAAAATACAAAAATTTTTAGCATACAAATGATTATTTTCAGAATGATAAGCATAAAGTGTTTATTATCCTACCATTTGTATTATTTATAAATACAAAAGAGTATTCTCATGCAATAATTAGAAAAGAATAATAAAGTTTAAAATCAGAAATCTACTTAGTACATGCATATTATTTATCAATTATTTACATGATTCGGTAATTAATCAAAAATACAGTAGATTCAATCAGTAAGTTGAAAATTATAATAATAGCATTTTCGCATGCATTATTTTTTTTTTAAATTTTAGTTTTATATAAGAATTTTTGTTTAAACAGTAATTAAAAACGTATTATTGTGTCATTTATGAATATATCTCATATAAACAGTAAGTTTTGTTAAAATAAAATTTCAAGAATATTGTATTCCACTAAACTTCATATAGAACACATACAAGCTTATTGTTTTGTGCCAGTTCTTAAAATGTTTGAATTGCATATCCAAACTATTGCTATTTTTTATTAATATAATAATTTTAATTATTGTTGAGTGGTTTTTACGTAAATTGACGACAAAATTGCTAAGATTAATTTTCTTAAAAAATTTGATGAATTTTTTGGATGAAATAATAATCATATCATAGTTTGATACTGACTGGCATACAAATGTATGAAAAAAAGAAAATATCGCCAACTCAATTTTTTGGAGTAAGCAAACATGTTAAATAATTTGGTCGTAAAAGTAAGGCCGAATTTGGAATTTTGCTTAAGTAAGAAACAATCTCATCATTTTCTAACCCTTTTCCAGTCTGTTACTTATTCTTTCCATATACTTATTATTGCTTGTGACCTGAATCAGACCTGAAATGTTAAGCAAAATACGTCTATAATTTTACTTCCTGCTTGTTTTCTCTGTTAGCATTCATTTAGTCTAAGGTAGAAAACCAAGAAAAATGGCCTAAAGTGTGCATGTATACCTTTTAGACTACTAACCATCAAAAGTAATGCCAACTAAACGTAAAATAGAACCATTATTATGAGTCATACTAAATTTGGGAACATGAATTAGCTAAATAATGCAGTGATCCTTTTTTTCTTTTTTAATTTTACTTCCTATAAATAAAGTAATGAGAAAAGTATTTTTTTTAATATAAAAATTATTATTTTTTTGATGTGATTTTAGTAATACTTTATTACTAATGCGAAATTTACTGACTGAATTTCTTTGTTTCTTATAAATAAACTGTTTATGGCAGAACTGTAAAAGTTAGATTCTTGATTTTGTTTCAAAACTGTGCTAATTTTAACTAGCTAATTATTACAATTAACGAGTGTGATTAATATCGTAATATAATTTGATAGAATTCATTAAATGTTTAACACTAATGACCAAGTATAAATATTTAATAATGGTCTTATCTTACAAAAATAAATTATTTCATGCGCAGTATCTTAACTTTAAGACAAATTCAATGAGAAAAAACGGTTTTGCAGCAAAATGATGACAAAAATATTAATATTAAATTACAGTACTGCTAAATAACTTATGACTAATACACTATGCATGTAAAAAAAATGAATATTTGCTCAAAATAATTTGTTTTTTGTTTAAAATTTAAAGCAAAACTGTGAACTATTTTCTGTAAATAAAATAGTAGTGTGATCCTTTTGGCAAGTTTTTTTATTGCTCTCATAAACCATTATAAGTTTTGTCACATTAATAATCACAAATTTCTCTTAATACATCAACAATTAAGGTATTGAGGTAGTTTTAAATAAACTACTGGAATTTTTTATTGTAGTTCTGTTCACTTATATTGAGATCAAAATTGAAGTGGGATTTTTTCTCTGCAAAAAAATAGTCCTGAATTATTTCTAGAACCAACTTTAGTTTTTTTAACTTGTAAAAACAACCTTATTTCTCATTCAATCACTCTCACTCTTTAATTTCACACCATATGATTCTATCAAGCACTTTTGATGAAGTATTTTATTTATGTCACTACTGATTGATGCACATATTACGATTATTCAAACTTCATCAAGTTAATTCAGAAAAATCCTTCTGCTAATACGCATGGATCAGAATAAAAATTGCTTTCAACGAATGTTTGACAGATTGTAAGATTTAAGCCTTTTACGTTGAACTTCAAAATTTAGTAGAACATTCATATGCATATTACATTCATTACTTCAGAATGCTAGTAAATAGTGAGCATGTCAATATGCTATTTTCTAGAAGCAGACATTTTGTTCGATAAATGCATGGCTATGATAATTTATAAATGATCATATCTCGTTTACTCAGTATGTTAAGCATGTAGTGTGCATTTGCTGAGGTCAGTGAGAACTGCATTTTCATTATTTGTTCTGCTTATAAATAAAGAGCTGTTTATTTGTTTTATTCAGGCTGGGATTTATTTTAAGCAGATGAAAATAAATGTAGCTTCAGCGACAATTTTGTGTTGGGGATGGAGGGTTCGGTTTCAGAACTTGATTCTGTCCAGCTCCTACTGAAGCTACTTTCGGTGTTGGATTAGGGAGCTGCGGCACTGGAGGATTGCGTACTGGAATCCGATTTGGCACCGGAATCACTTTCGCGGGGGAATGTGGCTGCTTCGGCGTTATTTGACCAGGCAGAGTTAGTGGTGCGGGTTGGGGTGTGGGTGGATGAGTGAAAGGTGAGCTGCATTTGATCTGAGCTACTGGAACTGTTGGAACCACAGGTGACTTCACGTTGCGGTCCAGCGACACCTGTCCTGTTTTTCCAGTTGCTTGGACCTGCTGCGTGGCGTTTTGTTGCTGTGGCATAGGCGAAGACGGAGAGATTTGGCGATTCAAAGGATGTGCTTTTTGTGGATCATCAGGCTTGTGTTTCACCTTCAAAAGTTCCAACCTCAAAGCCAGATGTCCTGCCTGGTCTGATGCTCCTTTCACTCTTGGAGATAGATCGTCAGCTCGTTCTGCTACTGGTTCCGGAGATCTGGTATTATTATCATCCACCTTTGGGTTTGCTTCATCATTATCTATTTCAGGTGGTTTAACTGGTGCAGGTTGCAATGCTTTTTGGTCGACTGCTGCTAATCCAGCTTGATCACCTTTTTTGGACGAAAATCTGGCATCGTACTCAGTGCAGAATTTTTCCGCTTTCTAAAATATAACCAATTATGTATTTATTCTTGGTCCTTACGTTTCCATCATTCCTCACGTTTTGTCAGTTGACTGAAATTATTCTAAATTTTTGCCAAGCTCCAATAACTTCATGCAAATATAGCAATACCTCCTGCAATTCTGGTTTCATATTTAGAAGTCCACAAGCTTCTGCATACGCAAGTAGGCATCGTCCAACGTATACAAGTTGTTCGTCGGTTTGAATAGAACTCATACGCATAGCTGCAGTGATTTTTTGATTGTACCATAAACCATAACGCATGAACTTTTCAATCACTGATAGCATCATTTTTTTGGAAAGCAATCAAAATTTTATTACTAATTTGGGCACAAATAATAATAAAAAAGACAGAAGGCAAACTTCTTAGTTGTTTGATCAGTTCCACAAGTGATAAAGGTTTTCCTGATAAAATTTGTTGCAGGCCCATTTCAATCGCAACAATGCAACCTGTCCTACCAATACCTGCTGAACAATGTACTACTGTTGCGCGTTGCATTGACTGTCGAACGATTTTTAGGATACGAAATGGCGCTAAGACACTTGATGGAATGCCTTTGTCTGGCCTCAAATAAAGTTATATTTGTTTTTCAGTCCCATTTTTTTAAAATAATTTTGTCATAGAATCATGCTTTTTGTCATAAAATTGTTTATGATACAAAGCGCTGAACAAATTTGCTTGAGAAAATTAATGGATGACTTTCTATTGCAAAGCGTTGCGTGTGCATACCAGTTCTTCCAACGCAAATGCTTAATGATAAGCCGAGTATTTTTATTTTCCGCTTCTAAGATAGACAGTACAAAAGTCGTGTCTTTGTTCTCGTCTACTTCGATACAACGTACTTGTATATCTGCTGTAATTAAGCCATTTAATTATATTGGTTTTTTTTTTTTTTTATAGCGAAATTGCGCTCATTTCCAGTCCTAAACAGCTTCAAAGATGAAGAAATAAGTCTGTACTAATGTGTTGTGTTCATGTACATGGACAGATAAATATAATACGTCTATATACATAAATATTCTATAATGCACGTGTGTAGACGTGCGCATGTGTGCATATGTCTTTAGCCATGTGTACAGATATGTATAGGTGTAAAAATTTGCGTGCTTGAAGACCATATTGCTGTTTACCTCATACATTTACGTATGGCCTACGTGTATATTCATGTATGTCATGCATATGCATACTTGTATATCTCTTTCTACGTGTTCCTACTCTTCACTACTGACAAAATTAAATAAAATTTGTGTGCAAAGGTAACCTCTGAATGTAAGTGAAGTGCCAACTTCTTGTGGCCAATATTGAAAACATTTGTTTTTGCCAGCCTCCATAACATTGCAGAGCATCACAATATTACTTACTTTCTCCTGCATTATCATAGTCCAGAAGTCATTCACAGTCATCGGAAGTGGTCCCTATAAACAATGGTGTATATACTTAAACCATATACACTTTGACAAATAATCCAAATTTATTAAACACAATGTTATTTTTACTTGAGTACAAATGAAAGGGTTGACGAAGGGCTCTCCTCTAACGTGATTTGCATGAATGTAATCACAGTCTCCTTCTTGAAGCACTACACGTGTCTCATCTATGCATACAACATCTGCAACCTTTTTTATTCATACTCCATTTTGTCTCATGTAAACATCACAACTATTGATTATTTTCTTTATCAAATAATCTTTTTGTATTAGTGATAAGCGTGGTAATCAGACAGACAGACCTTTGTAACGATTCTTAAGCATGTTTCTATCAAATGCTGTATGCGATAAATTTGGTGGTATGTAAGTCTTCAAGTAAATTTGAAACTGCTTCAGAATTCCTTCAACACCGAGTCCGAACATTTCCTGAATAGTAAGTGTTCATAACAGCTTATACCGATCTCTTAATATATTTCATTTTAGTGCTTATCACAAAACATTTTCTTCTTCAGTAAGCTTGCTGCTATGCTCTCAGAAGTACATAATTTGAAAAATTTGCTCATAATATATGTTTTGTTGTCTTTCTCTACTCTTTAATCTTCTAAAAATAAACTTAAATCAGTACTTGGAGAGTTGAAGCTATTGAAGGGTCTGAAAATTCTAAAATTTATAAAATTTTCAAAATTGATAAAAAAGGCAAAAATTATAAGTATTTTATGATGAGATAACCAATAGAAAATTCGAATAATTTTCTTTCTGCGCATCAGTTGAAGGAAAATCTCTTGGTTTCCTTTTCTTTGCTCTCATTGATTTATCTTCCTTTAAAAAAGCAAACTTGCTTAAAATATTCAACAATATCAGTTTTTTTTTTTTTTTTTTTTTTTT